CACTTATCATTGGTGAGCGCTAGGTAATTTTCCTCATTTGAAAAATAAGTGTATTTCTGTGGGTTTTGAACTTTCAGCCATTCCGTGTGTGAGTGAATTCTCACCCATTCTTTAATTCCATTACCTTATTTCTAAGCCTCACTCACTGTTGAGAAGCCCTAGACAAGTGCTTAGCACAACCCAAATTAGAAAATGTAGATTGTTCTTTTTTAGAATTAGCAGCATTGAATAACATTTTCTTGAAGTATCTCCAGATAATATTTGTAGAACAAATCTGCTATCTGACATTGGTGTATAGTAGGGCTTGAAGAAGATCTATTCTTCATTTTTATTTAGTTTGGTCCACTTTGACATATTTGGGTAATTTGTCCTGCACTCTAATCTTTTTAGCAAAGTACTGAGAATTAGGTGGGAAAGATTTGGAGAAAGTTTCAGCAAATATGATAGCAGATGGCAGTTCTCCATCCATCTTGTGTAACGTTAGGTTCTTGATGGCTGCGCCATGAATATTTAGGTATAACATAATATACAATGTATTTTCATTAGAATGTACATGAATGTGTCCATATATGTAATATATTTATCATAATTTTGAGTTCCCAATTTTTGTGCTAAATTAAAATAAAAGTACACTATAGCTTATTGAATTTTACTGTACATCTGTTTTTTAAATGAAATCTACTATATACTGCATTAGAAGTCAGCAGGAATAACTTTGTACAAAAGTTTAATGTTAGTTATGATGTAGTAGTCTCTTTTTTGCCACATGTGGCAAAATTTAGGCATTATCTTTGTTTTGTAATGAAAGTTGTTTTACATCTTAAATTTATAATTGTATATTCAAATTAGACAATTACCTGTATCAATTCAGTTTTCCTTGCAGGTCAGTAGTTTGAGAACTGACAAAGCATAAGTCTCTTTGTAGAGAGGAAATAAAATTAATGAAAAATTAATGGTAATACTTGAAAATGACATGAGGGACAATTTGCTCATGTTGATGTGGGAAATGTGAATTCTCTGCAGTTACTCTATAAGTGGAGAGGCACAACAGCATGTAGAAGTTAGAGTTCCTCAAATTTACCTCTTATATATAATGTTGCATAGCAGTTTCTTTTTCTCTATTCAGTCCATTTAATATTTATTTCTATTATATGAAAGCATCTGTGTTCTCGTAGAACATAATTAATTGAAAAATAGGATTATAGAGTTTGTTTACAGATGTTTCTTGAACTCTAATTGCTTTTTTTTTTTTTAATTCTGAAGATAGTCTTTATAATCTTTAGTACAGGAGTCTGGTTATAGGGGATTTGAATTGTACCAATCAAATCTAGTTTACTTCCCCTCCCCCTCCATTTTAAAAAATCTTCACTTTTGCCTTAATTTCAACTAGTAAAACCAAAGTCTGTGTTTTTTTTTTTTTTTAATTTACAAAGGGTATGAAGTATGGTGAGTGTCTATGCCTAACTGCCATCTAATTATAAGTGACAATAAAGTTTTTTTTTTTTTTTTTTTTTTTTTTGACAGAGTGGACAGTGAGAGAGAGAGACAGAGAGAAAGGTCTTCCTTTTGCCGTTGGTTGGTTCACCCTCCAATGGCTGCCGCGGCCAGCGCGCCACGGCCGGCGCACTGCGGCTGGAGCACCGCGCTGATCTGAAGGCAGGAGCCAGGTGCTTCTCCTGGTCTCCCATGGGGTGCAGGGCCCAAGCACTTGGGCCATCCTCCACTGCACTCCCTGGCCACAGCAGAGAGCTGGCCTGGAAGAGGGGCAACCGGGACAAAATTCAGCGCCCGACTGGACTAGACCCGGTGTGCCAGCGCACAAGTGAGATTAGCTAGTGAGCCGCGGTGCCGGCCTAAAACCAAAGTCTTTGTGTACCATGTGGCATCCAACAACATGATTCTGAAAAATGGCATTAATATATTATAAAATGTAATTCCTTCCTATCTTGTGATAGTCTCCAAGAGAAGAAACTCTTAGAGAACTAATGATCAGGTCCTTTCACAGTGTCTATAAATAAATCTCTAATAAACATTTCTGGATTTCTAGTCTCATGACTAGTTTTTCTGCGCTTTCTCCATTGGAATTCAGCTCGGAAAATACATAATTATGATGCAGTGATGAACAGGTTTTGAATGGCTGAATTGTTCAGCATGCTAAGACTTAATCATGATTGGGAAACACAAATTTTTCAGATCTGCATATAGTAATTTGAGTTGTATATGGTACTACAGACAGTCTGTAATTCTACATTCACTCCCACTCAAACACTGTCTTCCCTCATCTGTCCAACCTTGTCCCACTCCAATACAGAGCTACAGCTGTGGACTTCCAGCGAGAGAGAGAGAGAGAGAGAGGGAGAGGGAGAGGGAGAGGGAGAGGGAGAGGGGAAAGTCATAGGTGAAGACAGCTGGATCATGGGCTGGTACTTTGTGACTATATTTTCATTCTTTTGCTACTGAGGAAAGATTAAGCAGACTCATTTCAAAAGAACAGCTGACACTCCCTATACGAAGTCAGTAATTACGTCAGTCACTATAATTCTTTGGGGTTTGTGGATCTTCTTTCACATGTATGTGGCAGTGGTCCAGTTTGTAGAACTAGACAAGAAGTGGGTGAGTATAGATTGGATACATGCCAAGTGCACATACTAAACCAGGTTCTCACCCTTTTCTCAGCCTTCCTCCTTTTCCGTTAGCTTTGTGAGCCAGTAGATCTTTATTTAAGTGAAGTAGAACTTTTAACTATACAGTTGGTTTATGTTGTGGATAGGCAACGTATTGTCTTTAAGTTGACAATGCTGTTATTTAATAGGCTGAGAATTCTTGTTGGGCACACATTGTTAATGCCTGGAAGGGAGAATCTAGCAGTTGGTCTTTGTTTTGTTATCCTTCGTTTGTTTGTTTAAGTTTCTGTATCATTTGTTGAACTAACCTATGTTTCCTTTTTGAGTATTAAGACATTTAAGTGTGGCTGAATGTGTTTACTGACCATGTAGGTAGAGAACCTAAGGTGGTCTTCTGAAAAGAAGAAACTGAAGAAACTGGAAGGTTTTCTTTCATTTTTGTTTGGTTGGTTTTTGGTGTCAATAGGGAAAACTTCAGTCAGAAGGGACTAATTAACAACTCTCCAGTTCCTTCGCTGTAAGCCAGCAGTGACCTGGGAGGCCCACACATTCCTCACCATGAGCACTCCTGTCAGTTGGACTGTTTGGTTATTTCAGATATCCTGCCCAAAGAAGTGGAGTGTAGAGAAGTTGGGTAGTGTGAGTGCATGAAGGCCTCCTCATTTTGGAGATCTTTCTGGGCATTTAGAAATGATTTGAACCTTTCATGTTTTGAGCATTTGTGCATGAGGTCACCACACTCTTGAGAGATGGAACGCATCAAGTGGTCTCAGTTATTTACATCTTTGCTTTTCAAAGTGCAGGATGAGCGCTAGTAACATTTTATTTGCTATGTAATTAGTGAGTCTGAAATCAGATAAAGGGATTATAACTTTTTTTTCTTTTAATGAAGTAGAATAGAATAAAATACAAATTTGCCACTGGTTCCGCAGAACAGCAGCATTAGCATTATCTGGAAGCCTAGTGGAAAGACAGAATCCCAGGCACACTGTTAGAATGTGAATTTATCCACATGCTAAAAATTCCCAACATTAATGTTTATAAAATGTTGAAATAAAAAATACTAAAGTTTAAAAACATGTTTATTAAAGTAGTTAAATCTTGTTTTTCGTGTTCATGTTCAGACTAGTGTTCACCTTAGAAAATGTTTTAGATGCGCTTTTTACGATTTGGATGATGACATCAAATTCCTCGTTTTGTAGTGAACTATGAGAGAGCCATCCTTTGGTTGCATTGATATTATCTGTAAAGTTTCTTTGCTTCTCTTTATTTCTGTATCTTATCTTTATCTCCATCTCTCACTTTTTCTTCTACTTCACATTCCTCTGGTTATTTTTGCTTGTATCTAGTGTGCTTTAAGCTCATTGTACTCAGTGTTGTCAAAACACATTTTTCAAGTTTCAGATTGTGGTTAAGTATATTCAGTTTACTGGGAAATTAATGCTAAATAGCAGGATTTTAAAAATGTTCCTAGTACCAAATTTGAAGAAGGAAATACCCAAATTGTACCAGTGTGCTTTCTTCCTCTATTTATTATGTCTTCCAAATGTCAGATTCTCCATTAACATTTTGTTTTGGATGTAATTAAATCACCCAGTCTTTTTGCATAGCAATATTCATAGCCTGTCTTAAATACCGGGAGCAGACATTTCAAAAGAAATGTGTATCCCCAGTTGTACTAAAAAGAAGCAACTGTAGCTTTAGTTTACTGTATTCTAACCTAACCCAGCACAGGCCAGGTACAGCAACCTAAGCTTATGTATCATTAGGAAATGTGCTAGTTGCCTGGAAAATGATCAAAAGTATAGAAAAATCATACCATATGCATTTAGTATGTGTTCTTTTGGCCGCCAGTATGCAGTTCAACTTATAAATAAGCAGTTCGGTGCTGCAAATAAGCAACTTAAAAAAAAAATGTGCTTTCTTTGTAAGACTGCAATTACTAAACAGCCACCAATCCCAGAGTTTTTATTCAGTCATCTTTAACTAGTTTTAAACTTTTCTCTGTCACACAGCCTCACATTTTTGCCAATGATCTCATTTTTCTCCATCTGATTATTCCATTTAATTTGTAGTTTGTTTTTAAGGGCCTCAGTAGTGAATTTTATTTTAACTTAGAAATGCTACAGGGGTGTTCCAGAAAAGGGGGAGAAATAGAAAATTTTGAAATCCCTAAATCTCTGACAATGAAGAACTTTGTTACTGCATCATTTTCTTTATTGGTTATATCAGACAGTATGTACAGCACAATTGCAAATGATTGCTCATTTTTTATTTTTTATCCATACTCTATAACAGTATGATATACATGTATTTGTTAATGTTAAATGATCTTTTCTCTAATTCTTTGTGCATTTTCCCCCCTTTTCCATGAAGGCCTTATCTCTTTGGAGCGGGGTGTTTTTCCATAAAAGCTCCATGGTGAGTTCCAGTTCAGTCCCGCATGCCTAATTCATTTGCTGTACTCTCAAGAAGTAACTCTGTTTTGTTTTCAGTTGCATGGCCTGATCACACGTAGATGCACCAAATTTCTCAATAATTTGTAGATAAGACATGAATGTTAATATTAAGCTTTTAAAAAATGGGATTATTTCTGACTTCATTTAATTCCTTGAAAAGTTTTTTTTTTTTTTAAATTACTGATGTAGAATGTCTTTAAACAAGAAAATAGAAGACTTCTATCATAATGCTGGTAGATAATGAAGAGACATGGCTGACTCTCAAGTTTAAAGCTTTGAGTATTACTGTGATAGGTTTTCCCTACATATCATGCTTTACATTTGAGGACATTACTTATTTTGAAATATAAATATATTTAAAGTATACCAAATACACCCTATAAAAGTTACTGTAGTTTATTTGGTCCTAGAGGGACAATGGTCAGTTCTGTTTTGAAAATCTAGTTATAAAAGGCTACATGGTAAGGAAGTATATATTTCACATAAAAACTGCTAAAAATTTATTGTTTGAATTACTAGGGCCTGCTCATATAACTTAATCATTTCGTAAATTATTTTGTAGCAATGGATAGAAAGCAGGTTTGTCAGTCTGAGGCATGAACTTTCATGTAAAGATGTGCAGTGAAATGTATTATGAACCTGGTGTGAAATGTTTAATGGTCAAGTGTCAGTGTCCCAGAATCAGACTGTCAGATCTTAAATCAGAGCTTGCACACTTAATTTTCTAAAACCCTTCTGTTTCTTGTTTTTCTTATCTATTAAATGAAATTAGTAGTAACACTTACCTTATTAGTTATTGTGAGGAATAAATGAACTGATATATACAAACAGTGTCTGGCACATAGTAAACACTCAATAAATATTAGTTGTGGCCACTCCGAGTTCTTTTCCAGGTTAAAGGAAAAGAACAATAAGCGACAAGAAGCTTCTTTAAATTAGATCACTTTTTTTTTTCTTTTAAGAGTAGTTAAGCCAAAAGGAAGTTTTGAGAAATGTCAGGGAAATCAGTTTTATTAATTTAGTCAGCATACTTAAGAGTTCTAAACTTTTATGCGTATTTCTCATAACTGCACTAGGAATTGTTTGTGCTGTCCTAGTAAAGTAGAAACTACATTCCAAGCTTTTCTCCCATAGACAAAGAGGCTTAAATAGTTCTTCAAAGTAACTTTTCCTGTTCACATGTTGCAGGAGCATCTGAACATTTCATTATCATGTAAGATGAGATGACATAAAACAAATTAACATAAAGCTCTCCTCCTTGAAATGCAACAGCATACTTAGCACACAGTTTGCCAAATTACTCTGAGTAAGTTCAGAGTATACAGGGGTATATGAAAGTCAGTCTTCATTCTCTTTGTTAATCAGGTTTCTTCTAAAAACAAACAAGATACATAAGTCTGTCTTTTGAGCTTATAGCGAGCAGTGAATTTTAAATGCTACATTAAACATGATAAAATTTCTTTGTAGAAAAAACTTAAGACTAAAATGCATTTTAGGGTAAATTCCTCATTCTAAGTACAAAGGAAAGAATTTTAGCATGTTAAGTTTTCACATAGAAGTAAAAGATGGAATAACAAATGTTGTCTGTTAAGTAAGAAAGGCTCATTCCTCCAACAGCTTATGTGCTCCCTCACATTTAAGCAAAAGCACTTGTCAACCAGAAATGATTTGAGGTTGAAACAAGATTAAAAGAGCCAGATTAAAGAAAGGGATATATGAAATATAGTAGACTTTTAAATCATTGCCTGTCTTTTAGAAGACTGCTTTGTGGTTTGTTTGATGCCATCGTTAGCTTACAAGAAACTCGTTTTTAGTCACTTATACTAGACTAAAAGGTCCTCCTTTAAAATACTCTACTCTACCAGTGTGCATGTTTTTTCCATTAAGATCTTAATGAAACCTCAAATTAAGGCAGCAAAATTAATATAAATTTGACAACTTCTTCCATGTTGTGTATGAGAGCTTCTTTGTTTTAATAGGTTTTGCTCTTTCTCCATGATATTTAACATTTAATCTGAGAATGTTTTTATTTACTGTTCTGAAATAAAACATGTTAAATAGTTATGTTCATAGTATTTGTAGCTGAAGTGTAAGATATATATTTTGGATGGGAAAAGAATTTTCACAATTTTAAAATTATTAGTTTCAAGTTGGAACATTTATACTTAATATTTTGTACAAAGATTTTGCTTTTGGTCTATCGCAGTCGCCACTATTTCTTCATCAGACTGGTTTAGTTCTTAAAATTCATGCTGTTTCACATGAGTTAGTTTTAAATGTGGTCCTTCCCTTGTACTCCAAATAGCATGTTGGAAAGTGAACTATATAGGCAGATTTCCACATTTTAGTTAGTTTAGACTTTCATGGCATTTTGTGTCCTCTGTTAGTTTAACTAGGATACTTATATAAAATAAAGTGAAATAATTATACATGCAATATAATTTATTAAATATGGGATTTTAACATAAATAACTAGTGTGAACTTTAAAAAATAAATTTTACTTTCACTATTGTAATTAAATAAGTAGCAAATATATATTATGCTACTAAATTGCATGTAATATTGTGTTTAAAGCTAATGTGTTTTTTGAATTGTATATCAAAAATATGTATAACAAGTAGACAGTACATAGTCCATAAGGATATATCCCTCATTTATATGTATTTGTCTCCTTATATATAAAGTTTATTTGACAAAATAGTGTACCTATCAAATTAGATTTAAAGTTTTAATTAGCATTTTTCTGAAAGTTTGGTCAAAATTTAAGTAGTCATGTAAAGGAACCTTGATTTTGTGAGGATAACTTGAAGTTTATAATTTAGTTTTTGGAAAGTTAAGAGTTCTGTAAGAAGGAGAATCTTTTCTCACCTGCTAACTTCACAGAGGTCTGTTAGAAGTCAGAGAATAATTTGTGATATGATGGAATAGTTTAGACAAATAATATTTTTAGTTATTTGAAATGAAATACTTTGTAAAACAATATGGATCATGAAAGGAAACTTCCATAATCTTTTTAAAAGTTTAATCATAATAAAGAGTATAAAGTTTTTGTACCACCTCTAATTCTTACATCAGTGTGGTATTTTATATGTAAGCTCTAATATTGGCTGTGACTTATGTTGGAGAAAATAAAAGAAATGGTGCTTCTATGTCGTGTATGCCCTCTCCATGCTTGAATCCTGCTAAACAGGGGCCCAGCAATATTGCTGCTGATCGTGTTGTCCAGAAATGCGTCCCCCAAGTCCTATTCTGTGACACCTTGTTAGATTAACCAGGGGGAGATTTTGTCCTAGATCTAAAAGCAGATATCATTAGAAGTTTTGGGTTATCGTTTTGTTTCCTAGTTTGCAGTTTATTGTGGAGTAAAAGCAGGAGAAATTCAATATGTTAATCTGACCGCATTACATAATACAGTAAAAGCCAATGGGAAGAAAATGCGAAACTTCGATATGCGTTGGAAATATTTTTTGAAGTTCCATTATATTAATATCTGTATAGCTTCTGATGGCAGTGAACATGATTCTCACGCTGTACTTTAAATATTTTTACCTTTCCACAGAATGTGTAGGACACAGTAAAAACTACTGATTTTTATTTAGTGTTTCAGTTATTCATTTTATTTTTTTTGCTTGTTTTTCTTTTGATTATGTTCATTTGTATCAGGCTTACTTAATAGGCTATTTTATGCTTAATTTTTTTTAAACAATGATACTTGCATTCCTTTTTCTTTTATGCTTTGATGTGGGGTTATTTATAAAAGGTTGAAGGAGTAAAGGGGCATGAGTTACCCTAGGAAGGACTCCATTAGGGCTGTCTTTAGTATGTTTTGTTCCTATGTATGACTGCTCTAAAAAAGGATGTACCCTTATAATCCCTACAGTTAATCTTAGGGCACCATTATAAATACAAATCTTACTTTTATATTATCCTGTTATTTAACAGTTGAATAAATAAAGTGGCCTCCAAACATGTGCAGAAATTCCTTTTATACGTGCAAATTTTCTGTGATAGGATTTGTTAAAAAATTCTTTCAGAAGAGAAAGGGGATAATGAGAGCAAGAACAAATTTCGAACACTGTCCTATAATGACTTAGTCACCAATACCAGTCTGTAAATTCGTATGATTTGCAAGGTTATCACTTTTCTGTTTCATTCACATATGTATTTTTCTGTGATTTTTTTTTGTAATGGAAGTATTTTGTATCATTGTGGAAAAGTTCAATATGGGGTATTTCTACATTGGTAGGAAAGCCATTCTGCTGTTACCCAGCTTTCTTAGATTCAGTCTTTTTTAAAACAAACCTAGGACTAAGGGCAAATTAAGTCAAACTAAACAATTCTAACTTTGGGCAGTCACATACGAAACACATCAGTAATAGCATTCTTTTCATTAGATTATTTTTCCTTTTTATTGCTCTCCAAGTCTTATTACATACAAATACACTTTTACATTTCTAGTTTGCTTAAATAGTATGACCATTCCAGATATAATTTAGTGTTCGAAATAATGTGACATGAAGGTGTTTACTCGTTACGCTGTATGCCCCACAACAGTATATCTTGTAGCAGGTAGCAAGTTGTTTTCAAAGATGAGAATTCTTTTGATTCCTTATTAAGCATGAGCTTATACTAATGACATTTATGAAGACCCTATAAAAGGAAAAAGTAAAAATGATAAAATATAAGAATAAAAATAATTCCCTGTATAAATTAAGCTTGCTTTAACTATAGAATACTTATTATCTGTGGGAGATAGAATATGTGTAGAATGATCTTAGGTTGATGCTTTTCACTTGTTCCAAAATTGAACTTTATGTAACTTATAGAACTGAAAGAGATTTTAGCTTTTGACATGGGTTTATTAGACCGTTAGCTTATAAAATGTAGCGAATATACTAAATTGGTATCCTACCATTTTTTCTACTCTTTATTATTCTGTTAATCTGGCCCATTATCAACTATTTTTAGGACTTTTTAGGATGCATACTTTAAGAGGAATCATATATTCTCTTAGGAAGTGGTATACTCATTACCACATAACTTTAAAATAGCAAAAATCACATTTAGTGACTTGCAAAAAGCTTTAAATTTGTCCTTGTGTTATTGTTCTTTGATGGTGATTCTATTACAAGTATGCAATCCCACAAACACAAAAAAACTTTGAAATTCTGGAGTGGTTTTCTCTCTTTTCTTCCCAGCAGCCTCCCCACTCCCCCACAGTTTAATAATGACTAGGGGTGCTTCAGGGATGCCCTCTGCAAGGACTTGTCAACTCAATGATAGTTCAGTGATGAATGGGTTCTTTTGAAAGAAAATGTATTTTCTAAAGTAATACAGCAGAGGACATCACAATCAGAAAGAGCAGTTCTAGTGACCTGTATAGCATGGGAAGGTGCATGAGTCTTCAGGTGTGGGATAGATTATTGGTCCAATAACTTGTGACTAATGCAGCTATGAAGAAGTGAAGTTGTTTGTGAACCACATGGAAGACTGATTGTGACTGGTTTTGTATTTTAGGAATGTCATGATTTGTGGGGGAAATGATGTTCAGCGTTTAGTGAACGTTAATGATGGAGAGATGGATTTTCATATATAACAATGTTCATTATTTGTAGATTTGATTAAAAATGTGAGACCAAAGTAACCAATCTTAGTATCCTCTGAACCAGAACTTTTGTTTTTTTCTAGAGGAAAAATATCAGAGTTCTTGGGAAGTCCTTGTAAGATACCTAAGAGACTCTTTCAGATGTCATAGGAGCTAGGAAACCAGGATTGCCAACATAGAGTCTGAGGTTTTGTAAACTAGGTGGGGGCTGTGAGTGCTACAGAAGATAAATCATATTCATTCAGTCCTCTGAAAGGGGAAGACCTTGCCCTGTCTCTACTATAGTGGTTCTTAAACTTGGCCCTCTGGAGGATTTCATAAAAAACACAAATAGTTGAGCTCCAATCCCAGAGTTTCTGATTAAGTAAATTTGGGATGAGGCCAGATTGGTATTTTTGTGCATAACTAAGAGGTTCCCCAGTTGGTACTAATTTCTAGGGATCAAACTTTGAGAACAAATATAGTAGAATCCTAAAATAGCTATTGGAGGTAGGCTATAAGAGGTTAAATGACTTATCTGAAAGTCACAGAGCGCTTAAGTGAAACACTGAGATTCAAATCCAGGTTTCTTTCTGACTTCCAAAATCAATTTCTTTCCATCCCATCATACTTTATTAAAAGATAAGGCAAAGTGACCAGAAGAAGGTAGCCGTGTTGTTTTGAGAATAACTTGTAGAACGCTGACATCAGGCTCCAGCATTCATTGTATCCCAGCTGGGATGTGACAGTGAAGCTATTTTCTGGTCTGTGAACTTGAGAAAATAATTTGTATATGGTAGTTGGCAAAATTGCTAATGAGCTTTAGGGATGCCCTTAATACATCCAAAGAAAACAGAAAAACAGGATTTGAAAGAAGTTGAAAGATGAATGTTAGAAACTGGGAGTATGGAAATTTATTTGTGGAAAACAGAAGAAAGCAAGTCCTGTACGGTGGTAGTTATACAAGAGTACTTCAAACGAGATCATAGAAAATAAAATGGAAGGATGTTAATTTTGGTATAAAATTTTCTGAAATCTATGCAAAGTTTTTCATAAATGCATTTTCTGTTAAGTTTTTGAAGACCCTTTGTGTGAAGGAACACCAATTGCTAAATGTGTCCTTACACATACAAGAAATATTCATGTTTGAGAGGTTATTGATAATTAATTCTGCCTTGATCTTTTCCCTTAACCAAAATAGACAAAAATTTTTTTTTGCAAACTAAAGAAGATAAATAACAGATAGGAAGATAGATGAATATAAGTATTTTTAGTTCATTAGGTTTGCCCCCCACTCATTGTTTAACTGTGCATTTTGGCTGAGAGCATTTTCAAGGTTTTATTCAGTATCATCTCATTTTCATACATGCTGTCTGCATTCACTTGTATTGTCAACTTCCCAGTTATGTATCAACGTGAACTGATAAACCATTGTATTATTGTGTAGTGTTTATGCTGGTATTACTGCTCCACGATGAAATCTCCAGAGAATTGTTACCCATCTGAAGTCATTTGAATTTTGCCAGCACACTCATCAGAAAAGGATTTAGTTTTTATTGAGCTTTTAACTTGTTGCCTTGACAAGACTCTGGAACTTCAAACTAATTTTTGCTTTCACCCCAGAGCATAATCTCACATCACCACCTGTTACTTAAGGGCAGAATGCATGTACATATTATAGCATTTGAATACTTATGGGTGGAATTTGTAGGAAGATCTCTGATTATGTAGAGGACTGTCATTTCATCTTGGTAATTTTTTTTTGTTTTATTTTTTTAAGCAAAGTTAAACCACCTCCACAGATTTCACCAAGCAAATCGATGGGCGGAGAATTTTGTGTGGCTGCTGTCTTTGGGACATCCAGGTCATGGTTTGCAAATAATGCAGGTCTGAAAAGGGAAAAAGGTATGTATTTTTACTGATGATCAAACATACTATTTGTATTTTTTGCTTCTTAATGGAAATTGGTAGTAATTCCTCTGGAATATTCTTGGACCTAATAATGTGAAGACCAGTATTTCCATTCCACTCAAGCCCAGTAAAGGAGAAAATTTTCCTCTTACATACACATGACACAAATTGCCCACTGAATGATTTTGGTTTTGCTTTCTTGGTGACAGTCTACAGGCAACCTCAGTGCTGTCAGTTCCATATCCGTTTTATAACTTTGAAATTTTATAAGCTAGTTTCACACTATTCTTTCTTAAGTGTGGAAAGGAAAATCCTTGTTATCTTTATTTTAGAGAGGAAGAACTTGAAGTCTTAGCTAAAAGCACAAGTTCACAGGTGGTGATACCAGAGGTTGAAATCAGGTTTTCTAATGGTAAATCTTTATTTATTTATTTATTTTATTTTATTATTTTTTTTTTTGACAGGCAGAGTGGACAGTGAGAGAGAGAGACAGAGAGAATGGTCTTCCTTTTGCCGTTGGTTCACCCTCCAATAGCCGCCGCGGCTGATGCGCTGCGGCCAGCGCACCGTGCTGATCCGATGGCAGGAGCCAGGTACTTCTCCTGGTCTCCCATGGGGTGCAGGGCCCAAGGACTTGGGCCATCCTCCACTGCACTCCCTGGCCACAGCAGAGAGCTGGCCTGGAAGAGGGGCAACCGGGACAGAATCCGGCGCCCCGACTGGGACTAGAACCCGGTGTGCCGGCGCCGCAAGGTGGAGGATTAGCCTAGTGAGCCGCGGCGCCAGCCTTCTAATGGTAAATCTTGACTTAGTTAAAAAAAATTGAGCAACTCTGCTGTCTCTCTGTTTAAGATTTCTTTTTATTTATTTCTAAGAGATGGGGTAGAGAGTGAGGAGAGATAGGGAGACAAAGATCTTGGATTCACTGGTTCACTTCTCAGATGGCTGCATTGGTCAGGGCTGGGTCGGGTTGAAGCCAGGAGTCAGGAACTCCATCGTGGTCTCCCACATGGGAGTCAGGGGAGCAAGTACTTGGGCTGTGTGCTGCTGCTTTCCCCGGTGCACTAGGAGGTCGCTGGATTGGAAATGAACACTGGGATTCGAACCAGCACTCAGATATAGGATGCTGGCATCACAAGCCACTGCTTGTGACATCATTGCCAAAATGCTGGCCACTTTGCTATCTCTTTTTAACATAATTACAAAAAGCAACCTGTCACTAGAAAGAATGCTACACTTTTTTTAATTTCCATTGGTCCTTTGAGTTAATATAGTTATGTTATATAATCTGTGTGTCCATCACCAGGGTCAATACCTAAAATGTTTATATAGTTAATGTTTTTGTGGGTGGTTTGTTATTGTCTCTGTATAGAAGTGAATGTCTTTGTTCGTCTCCCAATTATACAGTTTTGAATATGTTGTGATTTTCCCGTTTTTATTTTGGTATTCCTAAAGTAGGTCACCAACTGGGTTGTGACTGGGGCACTTTGATGTGGGGTTGCGCAGGCAGCATTGTTCCTGGCCAAATGGTTCTCCTCTCCACTTCCCACTGGCAGACGTCAGCCCTTTCCCTCGTTCTCACCTTTCAGTGACCCTTTCCTGGGTAACAGGATCTCAGGCACAGCAGGTTCCTTACCTAAGTGGAGAGGATACTGTAAAGTAGGCAAGCCTTCTATTTCCTTATCCCATCTTTATTTTTTTGTTTCCTCCTTGGGTTTAATGATGCTATCAAAAAGACTTTTTGTTACTAGTTAAAACCTTCTGTGAAGCTCGATTTCAAATTGTTCTCCCTTCTGTTCTAATTACCCTTTTAACTTGCTATTCCTTTGTGTCCCACTAGCTGGTCATTAGCCATTTTCTCAAATCAGCTGTAATTGATTCGCCTGACATAGAGATAAGGTGACCCACCCAGCATTCATGAGTGATTTTATATGCTCTTTGGTTTACTTTAAACCCCCAGATAGCAGACCAAACCTGTTTGGGTAGCGAATACATGTGTATTCCTTATAAAGTCACTTTGATTAGATCCATATTAAGCCACTGACTTCTCTGGGTATGGCTGATCTTCCTTTACCATGAAAGCCATTGATATCATTGAGAGACAAGAAATAAGGGTTTGTGGAAGAGGAGTGTGTGTGTGTTTAATAGGCTTTATTTTTATAGGCAGTTTCAGGTTCATAGCAAAATTGAACAGAAGGTACAGAGATTACCATAAACCTCCTGTCTCCACGCATGCATAGCCTCCTCCATTGTCAACATCCCACACTACAGTGCATTTGTTGTAACTGATGAAGCTATGGCAGCACATCATGTGTTTTTTGTTTGTTTTGATTCAGTAATTTAAGTTTTAAATTTAAGTTTCCTGAAACAAAGTAGATAAGATGGTAGTCTGATTTAGGCATGCAGTAGTCTTTCATGCAGTTCGCTCAGTCCTTCCCTGTCCCACCTGATATCGTTCAGTTTTCGTAACATGGGACTAATTACATGGTAGACAAATAAAAAGGAATGTAGAATAGTGTTTATATTAGAATTTGGGGAATAGTTATATTGTTAAAATCGATTGCTTAAAATTTTAGAGTATTTTGACAGCATACAGATTTCCGTTTTCCTTACCATCTACTTATTAGAGGCATTCTTTAGGCAAAGAGCAAGCACCATATAAAGATTGCTGCCTTTTCATTTTCTCTGAGCAGCCCCTGGAGTGGTCTGAAAAGGTCAGTAACTTGTAAACATTGTGCTGTGCCCATCTGATGCCATTGTCAAACATCCAGTTCTGTTTCTCTCTTTGTAGATCAATCCAAACAAGTTGTAGTTGAGTCTCTCTACATTATCAGTTGCTATGGGACCTTAGTGGAGCACACGATGGAGCCACGAGCCCTGAGCACTGCCCACAAGATCAGTGATGACACTCCACTGGAAATGATGACATCCCCTCGAGCCAGCTGGACTCTGGTTAGGTTGTACTTCCTTTCTTTTCATTTTTTTAAACTTGAGGTGTATGAAGTGATGGATGTGTATACATGTTGACATGTGTATACAAGCTGTGAAGTTATAACCACAGTTAACATCAGAGACATACCTATCACCTCTAAATGTCTCTGTGCCCATTTGTAATTTCTCTTTCTTTTGTTCCTTTCTGTCACTGTAGTTTACAGTATCTAGAATTCTGTGCAAATGTAATAATATAGGATGTATTATTTTGTGTGTGGCTTATTGTAGCAAAACAATAGCTCATTATTTTTGCATTTGGCATATAATTTAATACAATAAAATTCACCCATTGGTAGTGACTTTTCACAAAGTTGTGATCTATCGTTGCAGTCCATTTTCATCATCAATGAATGAAATCTTGTGACAGGAACTCCCCTTTCCCCCAACATTGCAGCCTAGGCAACCTCCTCTTTACTTTCTGTCTTTATGAATTTGCTTCATCTGGTCAATATGCTTTTTTGTGTCAGGCTTCCTACATTTAGCCTGTTTTTAAGGTCCATCCAAGTTGCAGCCTGTATCAGAACTTCGTTCCTTTTTCTAACCATAGTATCCCGTTATGTTGACATCATCACATTTTTCCCATTCACTACTTGATGGGCAATTCTCCTTGTAGCTGTAATCGATAATGTTGCTTTGAACATTCATGTCCAGATTTTTCTGTGGACATATGTTTTTAATTTTCTTGGTTGTATGTCTTTGGAGAATACCTGCTTTTGAACTCTTTTCTGTTTGCACCTTTGTGTTGGCTTTTCCTGGAATTTTGCTTTCCCCATTTGCAGTCTCATGCTTAGTGAAAGTAGAAAGCCATTCAGGGGAATAGAAACTAATATAAGTAGATCCAAGATTTCCTTTAAAGAAGTTCCAAAGATACCATGGCTAAGCACTGTAGAAATGTTGATTAAGAACCAGAGTGAATCAAAAAAGTTTATTTATTAGAATTAAGTATTAGAATCTTTACATGATGGTTATTAAGTATTAGAATCTTTATATGCTAGTTCATAGAGGGAGAATATGAAACCTGTAATAAAAATTGTAGTACATTGTCCAGGAGAGAAAAATTATTCCTAATATGTATGGAAGGGAATAGAAACAAATGGGTTTGAATATGATCTCTGTCCTTTAACATTTAAAAATATTCTTTTATTGATTTTTGGAGGTTCCATCATTTTTTACTACTACTTTACTATGTTGGATTGATCTGGTCAGTATCTGATTTATCAAGCTTATTTAGAAGTGGACAAAACTAATTAAAATTATTTTACTATCATTGTTGAAATTATGGCTTATTTTAGAAGTCAGACACTAATTAGATCTATAAGTCGTCATCCATTTACATAGGTATATTTTTTACACCATTTTAAACTGATTCTTTTTTTAATACACATATACTCGATATGGGCCTAAAATATATGTACACATAAGCTAATAGAGAGGCCTAAAAATGGATAAAAGTTACATAAAATTAGAGCCGCTTAGATTGACATTTGAATTCTATACTTCCTCTGTATAGGACTTCTGAATTCCTTGTCTGCCTTATTGTAGAATCTTCTGCTGTTAAGCTAATATTGACTCCTTGTTGTTTGTATGATACACAGCTACCTTTTTATTCCTTTGAAGCAGATGGCCTTGTGTTTCAGGTTTCAGCACATTTATTTTAATGATTACAAGTTCATTTTAATGATCACAAAAATAGTGTGAGCTTATGTCAGTATCTGTAAGGGATGACTGTTGTGATTTGTAGCCTATCTATTAAACTGAAATATTAATATTCTTCTGTTGTTTCATTAGAACCCCTCAGTGGAATGAATTGCAGCCACCATTTAATGCAAACCACCCTCTGCTCCTCGCTGCAGATGCAGTACAGTATTATCAGTTCCTGCTTGCTGGCCGTAAGTAGTTCTGATTGTTTTTTTCCTCCCTTCCATATGATCTTTTCAGGTTTCATCTTAAAATGCTTACTTTTAAAGCAGCTATTCGTATTACTAACTGGTCCATATGCCCTAGGCCCTAAAATGAGGTGATAGGATATTTAATAGGATGTAAACCATGAACCAGAGCATACTTTAAGTATGTTTCTGGCTGCTTTTATTCTCTGCCCATGAAATACTCCCCTGCAATGATTACAGGTAAGTTGATGGCAGTATCTAGTGGGCTGTTCCCCAATATTAAAACAGAATATTAGAATACTAAGGTATGATGAAGAGTTTCATAAAAACTTGAATATGTTTCTAACAGGAGAAAAAAGGTAAACATTTTTTCACTGTGAAAAAGGTGTCAGGAGGTTTCCCTTTTATATAGTTTTACTCGGAATAATGAAGTAATTATTTTCACTCCATTGATTTCTAAATAGCCTTTTTAACCTGCAAGTCATGAAAAGACAATATTTGTCAACCAGTTTGTGTTCATGGAATTAAAAATTCCTTACAATTATAATTTAATTTTGCATAATGGACTGAATCCTAATGTAACTTGATGGCTCTGAGTACTGCATGTTTTTAAGAAACTTCCTAAAAATCAACACTGACATGTTTTTGTTGTATTCAGATTATTATCTTCCTTGGTGTAGTATAAAGCAAGAGTTAAAATAGTTCTAGAATTATTTTACTTCCCCTATATATATATATTAGAAAGAGAAAAATTTTGTAGACATTGCTGTAAATTATGAAACTCCGTGAATATAGTATGTAGTTGGCTCTGTTGCCTGGTTGCATGGTTGAGTTCATTCTTCTTCTAGCACATATTTATTTAGTACCTAGTATGTATCAGACACTTTTGATTTAAAGATGAGTCACATAATGCTCTGTCCTCAATGAATTTGTTGTTGAGTTCTAGAGATAGACACTTAGTAAATAATTACAATAAAACAGGATAGGTTTAGCAGTGGAAGAGTTTGTATTCAGCCATGGCAGCAGTGACATAAATTGCCAGTAGTATCACAGAGGATAATATAAAAGTGGTTTTCAGATTGGTTCAAAAAACAGAGTATATAGAAGTTGTTTCCAGGTTTTTAAAGCTTATATTTAACTCTCTAATGAATTAGGGGAAAAAATGACTAGTCTATGCTGTGAAAGAAAAATCACAGACACATTTCCATTACCTCTAAAAGGGGCCAGAAATAACTAATTGTTGAATTAGTCGTAGTTGGTATTTTCAGAATTAATATTGGCTCTTGTTTTGTTATTTTGATACTTATTAGGTAGGACTGTTTAATAGACAAAACAGTAAGCAGCAAAAATTATTTAACAAAAAGATCTGGGCAAAAAAATTTGCAATTGTCTCAGTTTTTATGTTCTCATCAGTAGGCTGATGGAAGTCACTTGATTTCAGTTGTCTTCAGTACCTTTGTCCGGTTCTTAGAACAACAAAAATTCCCACGTCTGTAGTTTAGGACCCATCACTGTAGGCAGTAGCAAGTCTTCTAATGTTTTCCAGTACAGGACTTAGATAATCAGAACTGCATTTTAGAAAGATCACACCAGCCACTGTGTTGCAGTGAAAGAGTCCAGAGACGGGAGTGGAGGCATAGGATCCTGTAGCAAGTTGAGGGCTTTAAGTAATTCTCTTACAGAATTAATTACAGAGAAGTTACAGAGAATTCAAGTATCATTGATGATTTTGTAGTTTCTACCTATATTTATAACAAAGTTTTACAGTCTTATAATGCACCTCATTTTAGATCTTTTGAAATCTTGATGTCCTAGTAATGGCATATAGATAAAAAGGCCTGGGTTCCAGTTCAAAATCACCTCTCAGTAAGTGGATAAATGTAAAATACCAATGATAATATTTGCTTTTTTTAGAAAACTTTTATTTAATAAATTTAAATTTCAAAAGTACAACTTTTGGATTATAGCAGTTTTTACCCCATAACCACCCTCCTACCTGCAAACCATCCCATCTTCTACTCCCTATCCCATCCCATTCTTCATTAAGATTCATTTTTAATTATCTTTATATACAGAAGATCAACATAGTATGTACTAAGTAAAGATTTCAACAGTTTGCACCCCACAGACACACAAAGTATAAAGTACTGTTTGAAGACTATTTTTACCATTAATTCTCATAGTACAATATGTTAAGTATAGAGATCCTACATGGGGAGTAAGTGCACAGTGACTCCTGTTGTTGATTTAGCAATTGACATTCTTATTTACGGCATCAGTAATCACTGAGGCTCTTGTCATGAGCTGCCAAGACTGTGGAAGCCTCTTGAGTTCGCCAACTCTGATCTTATTTAGACAAGGCCATAATCAAAGTGGAAGTTCTCCCTTCAAAGAAAGGTACCTCCTTGTTTGATGGCCTGTTCTTTCTACTAGGCTCTCTCACTCACAGAGATCGCTCATTTAGGTCATTTTTTTGCCATAGTGTCTTGGCTTTCCATGCCTGTGAAACTCTCATGGGCTTTTTAGCCAGATCTGAATGCCTTAAAGGCTGATTCTGAGGCTAGAGTGCTGTTTAGGGCAGTTACTATTCTACAAGTCTGCTGGGTATCCTGCTTTCCATGTTGGGTCATTCTCTCCTTTTTAATTCTATCAATTATTATTAGCAGACACTGGTATTATTTATTTTTTAAAGATTATTTATTTATTTATTTGACAGGTAAAGTTACAGACAGTGAGAGAGAGAGACAGAGAGAAAGGTCTTCTATCCAATGGTTCACCTCCCAAATGGCCTCAACAGCCGGAGCTACAACAATCTGAAGCCAGGAGCCAGGTGCCCCCTCCTGGTCTCCCATCCGGGTGCAGGGACACTTGGGCCATCCTCCACTGCTTTCCCAGGCCACAGCAGAGAGCTAGACTGGAAGAGGAGCAACCGGGACTAGAACCCGGCGCCCATATGGGATACCAGTGCCGCAGGCGGAGGATTAACCTAGAGTGCCACAGCACTGGCCCCAACACTGTTCTTATTTATGTGATCCCCTTGACACTTAATACTATCTTTGGCCGGCGCCGCGGCTCACTAGGCTAATCCTCCGCCTAGCGGCGCCGGCACACCGGGTTCTAGTCCCGGTCGGGGCGCCGGATTCTGTCCCGGTTGCCCCTCTTCCAGGCCAGCCCTCTGCTGTGGCCCAGGAGTGCAGTGGAGGATGGCCCAGGTGCTTGGGCCCTGCACCCCATGGGAGACCAGGAAAAGCACCTGGCTCCTGGCTCCTGCCATCGGATCGGTGCGGTGCGCCGGCCGCAGCGCGCCGGCCGCGGCGGCCATTGGAGGGTGAACCAACGGCAAAGGAAGACCTTTCTCTCTGTCTCTCTCTCTCACTGTCCACTCTGCCTGTCAAAAAAAAACAAAAAAAAAACAAAAACAAAAACAACAACAACAACAAAAATACTATCTTTATGATCAATTTTGAACTTAAACTGATCACTTTAACTAGTAAGATGGCATTGGTACATGCCAATGTAATGGGATTTGGAGTCCCATGGCACGTTTGTAGCTCTACCATTGGGGGTAAGTCCGAGTGAGTATGTGCCAAACTATGGATCTCCTCCCTCTCTTATTCCCACCCTTATTTTTAACAGGGATCAATTTTCAGTTAAATTTAAACACCTAAGGATAATTGTGTTAATTAAAGAGTTCAACCAATGGTATTAAGTAGAAAAAGAAAATACTAAAAAGAATAAAATAGTAAGCTGTTCCTCAACTATCGGGACAAGGGCTGATCAAGTCATTGTTTCTCATAATGTCAGTTTTACTTCTACAGGTTTCCTTTTAGGTGCTCAGTTAGTTGTTGCATATCAGGAAGAACATATGATATTTGTCCCTTTGGGACTGGCTTATTTCACTCAGCATGATGTTTTCCAGATTCCTCCATTTTGTTGCAAATGACTAGATTTCATTTTTTTTTTACCACTATGTAGGATAATGCTTGCTTTTATGATGATCATGAAAACATGCTGCAGTCCTTTGGAAAATTGTAAAACAGTAAATGTATGTAAAATTATAAAACAATACATTTCTTTGTTGGTTATCACAAAAGTGTATAATGCCTTTGTTGGTTATCACAAAAGTTAATAATGCCTTTATTGGTTATCACAGAAGTACATATTTTCAAATAGCAGACTTCTGGGACTTTTCAGTATTAAACTTTTTTAATATTTAAAAATATATCAAATGTTCAGCAAATGTATGATACAATTACCACAACAGAATTCTCATATTAATGTTATGTTAATTCAAAGACTAGATTCATCGGTGAATAGATAAATTCTGTGAATATAATGATACTTGCCATTCTCCCCTTCCTCCTTCTTTCTTTCCTTTTGTACTTTTTGTGATAACATGTATTTAATTTACATTCTAGTCAAAGGCTTAATACTCCATTAAATAAAGAGTTGAACAAGTAAACAGCAGAAAGCCCAGCAGGAATATAGGCAAAGGCTATAAACAGTAATCAAGTGGAAATATGCCCATTTCACTCATGTGCAGTAGATTTTAAGATAATCACAGATCCTAAGAACTATAATAGCATCTTTCTTCTAACCACTGGTTTGACAAATATATAAAACAAAGTTTGTATACAGCATTAATCATGAGATACCTGTTTAGAGTATGTGATTCTAATTATGTTGTTATACCAATTATTAAATGATAGACATAGTTAATATATTTTATCTTGTGAGGTGTTACTATAGACATAATTTAATATATTACAAATCTGAGAGATAATTCTGTAATAATTATTTTTCTATTTTATATTGATAATAGAGATATGGAGTTAGCCCATATTTAAAAATTAGTTTTCCTTATGTAAATATGAGCTATTTGAATGAGAGTCCTAAGCATGATAGTATGTTACATGGCTCAAACAATGAAATATGAAAAACATGGGTCTAAGGAGTAGAAGCCTGAAATATGACTGATAAAAGTGCCACTGGTACCACTTAAA